AATATAAAATACTAAAACTATCAGAAGACCAGATAGAGATCTTAAATAACAATTTCAGAAAAAGAAATTGAAATAGTTATAACTACCAAAGGAGGGGGGAACCTCTTGTTCCTTATAGATTCATAGAAGAAAAGGATAGCCCATGTCCTCAAGGACTTACATTCAAATGGGGAAAGGCAACACATAAAAAGGAGCTAAAAAGCAAGAGGGACTGTTAAAGAAAAATTAGTGCCCATAGTTCGCAAATTATTCTCAAAAATAGAATAAGAAAGAAGTCTACCTTAAGCCTTTTATGAAATAAATAAACCTAAAAATAGACCTAAAACCTGAAACAGGGAAAGATAAAACACAGAAGGGAAACTATAGGCCAATATCATTAATGAAAATTGACTCAAAAATTTTAAACAAAATCTTATCAAACAAACTATAGAAATCCAAGAAAGCATTCATTATGAGCAAGTGAGATTTATATTAGGGATGCAGAATAGTTAAACATTAGAGATCTTTTTAAGTTAAGAGTCAGATAGTTGGAGTCAGGAGGACCAAAATTCAAATATGGTCTCAAGCATATACTAGCTGTATGACCTTGGACAAATAGCTTAACCTCTGTGTATCTATGTCCTCATCTGTAAAATGGTGATAATAATAGTCCCTACCTCACAGGATCGTTGTGAGAATCTGATGAGATAATTTTTGTAAGGCACTTTGCGAACCTTAATGCGCTATCTAAATGCCAGCTATTATTCAAGCTAAGGTTAGAGGACCACTTGTCAGATATGTTGCAGAGTTTTTGTTCAGCTATTCAAATCCTTCCAAATTGGAGATTTTGTGAGTCTTTGAACAGACCAAATCATTAAAAATCAGAAACAATTGAACTTAGTAGCCCCATCTTTGAAAGACTCAAGAACATAAAATGAAAGCACACACTATTCAACAAAAATTTACCAGAAACCCAGAAAGCAGTTTGGCAGAAAATATATTTAGATGGATCAGCAACTTAAACTACATACAACAAAAATTTTCAAGTGGATAAACCAACTAAATATAAAAGGTCATATTGTAAAAAAAAATAGAGGAGACTAGGAGAAATATTTCACAATATAATTAAGGAGAGAATTTTTTTTTTGCTTTGATTCTTCTCTTTTTATTTTCTTTCTTTTTTCTTTTTTCTTTTTTTTTAATTTATTTTTAGTTCTCAATATTTACTTCCACAAGATTTTGAGTTCCAAATTTTCACCCCATCTCACCCCTCCCCCCACCCCAAGATGGCACGCATTCTAAATGTCCCTTCCCTTAGTCTGTCCTCTCTTCTATCTCTCCCCCCTTCTCTTATCCCCTTCCCCTTCTTTTTTCCTGTAGGGCAGGATAGACTTCTATACCCCATTTCCTGTATTTCTTATTTCCCAGTAGCATGTGAAAACATTTTTTTAAAACATATGTTTTTAAAACTTTAGGTTTCAAATTTTCTCCCTTCCTCCCCCCACCCCCCACCTCATTGAAAAGGCAAGCAACTCAATACAGGTTATACATGTGCAGTTATGCAAAACATTTTCATAGTAGACATGTTGTGAAAAACTAACTCTATTTCCCTTAATCCTATCCTGCCCCCCCCATTTATTCTATTCTTTCTTTTGACCCTGTCCCTCCTCAGAAGTATTTACTTCTGATTACCCCCTTTCCCAATCTGCATTCCTCTCTATCATCCCCCTGCTCTCTTGTCCCCTTCTCCCCCTATTTTCCTGTAGGGTAAGACAGATTTCCATACCCATGTTATTCCCTCCTTAAGCCAAATCCTATGAGAATAAGATTCACTCATTCCCTCTCACCTTCCCTTGTTTCCCCTCCACTGTAAGTGGACTACAAATTCAACATTATGATATGGTTGACAAGAAAATGAATGTGATCTTGGGTTAGATCAAGAGAGGCACAGCTCCCAGGAACAGGGAAGTGATAGTCCCAGTGTTCTCAGTGGTTTCTAACCTTGTCAGACCTTGGTTAAGAAGGGCCTTGATAAGTTGGGAGTGTCCAGCAGAGGGCAATTAGAATGGTGATGCATCTTAAGTCAGGCCATAGAAGTATCAGTTGAATGAACTGGGGGTATGTGTAGTCCAGAGAAGAGAAGGCTTCAGAGGCAGGTGATAGCTGTGTTTAATTATTTGACGGTTTGTTATATGGAAAAGGGATTAGACCTGTTCTTCTTGGCTGTAGTGGGCAGAGCTAGGATTAATGATGAGTATTTATTATAAATTAATTAGTGATTAATAATAGGATTAATGATTAATACTTAGTTGTACAGATGCCCATTTTGGCTTGATGTTAGGAAGTCCTCCAAACCATTAAAGCTACTCAAAACCAAACTGGGCTGCTTCTGGAGAGGGAGGCTTCCCCCTCTCTCCAGCCCTTTAAGCAAGGGCTAAATGACTACTTGTCAGATGTGGTGTATACAGGATACCCTTTCAGGTTCCTCTGGCCTCTAAGTTCCCTTCCAACTGTAATTCTATTATTCTTTCAGCCTAAATCTCTGCACTTTCTTCCTTGACAAAATGAGAGGTTTGGAGAGCATGACCTCTAAATTTAATGATTATAAACCGGAGGTTTGTTTTTCAGGGTTTGTCCAGCTGACTGTTATTTCTTTGTCCTTTTAGTTTTACACACAGTTAATCTGTTTTAGATAATAAACTCCTAAAGAACAGAGTCACTGGTATTTAAACATGTTTGTGCTATGACTTGCATATATGAGTAGGCTTATGCCTTTCATGGTATTGATGGTCTTGGCTTCTTAATGTGAGATTTCATACTTACAACAGTTTACCTTCAGAGTGCTTAGAAAGCTTCTCATTTCAGTCATTTGGGATATTTTATTTATTCATCTACATCAGATTAATTCTCCTAAAGCTCAGCTCTGCCATGTCCTTCCCATCTTTAGTAGAAAACATTTAGTCGATCTCCATTGCACATTGAAGACTCCTTAGCATTACATTCAAGACTTTCCATGTCTTGGATCCAACCTACCTTCACAGTGTTTTCCCCACAAACCTTCTTCCTGGACCTCACACTCCTACTAAAATGGACTACTTACCTTATTTCATCTGCTTCTCCATCTTCATGTTGTTATCTTCACTAGAAATGTCACTTTCCTGCAATTAATCAATCAGCAAGCATTTATTATGTGACTTCTACATGCCATGGACTATCCTAGGCATGAGGCGTACAAAGACAAAAATGAAATAGTTCTTGTCTTCAAGGAGTTTGGCACTATCTCTTCAAATTCTACTCATCCATTAAAGCTCAGTTCAGATTCCACTTCTTTCATGAAGTGATCCTTCATTTATCCTCCTATCAGGATTCCTCTGAGCCTTCACAGCATTTTGTCAATCTATCTCTTATTATGGTTTCATATTCTACCTTAGATTATAGTTATATGCCTCTTAGAGCCATAATTAGAATTGTTATAACTTATGGGAAAAACTGTTTGGGGGTAGTGTCCAGTTGAATATAGAGAGGAGGAGCTCTGGTCCTTGTCCCACAAGAGTTGGGATGAAGGTGGGCCTGGGAGAGGCCAATGATGGAAGCCTAGGGGTAGCAACTGTACTGAAGGAGTGTGGCTGTGGGCTGATGGAAAGAATCTTGAGCTGAAAAATGATGATGGTGGTAGCCACATGAAGGAAGTAAGCCCCAAAGGTAAGCCACACTCTCATGTTGTCAGAGACAAAATCTCTTTCACTCTATGTTAGTTACACCTTTAGTACTTCTTACCTCCCCAACTAGTCTGTGTGTTCCTTGGGGGCAAAGAACAGGTCTTATTCATCTTCGTATCACTGAAAGAGGTTATCCCAATGTCTTGTATGTAGAAGATACTCGAATATTTTGGGAATGAATCAATGATTTAGTGAATAAGCAAGTGAATGAATAATAGTGCAGACCTGTGGCATTTTCTTCACAGCTATTGAGTGTGTATTCTGACAAGAATGGCCACATGACTGGTAGGACAACAGATGAGTTGAAGTATTAAGGTCTCATGAGACTAGGACCCTACAGATTTAATTCACCCAGGTTCCATGCCATTCTAAGAGTGGCTTTCCCAGATCCTTTGATTTTATGTTGGTCCTGTGGATTAGAACACAAAGTATGGAACTGTAGTTAGTGATTAGAAGACACATTTGGGTATAAGGACTAACGCCCCCGTACTGTCACCTGAATCCATCACTCACATTTTGATCTTATTACCTTAAAATGTTCCTGGCTCTCTGCTGACTGAAGTATCTTAACATTTTTAAAAAAAGTATTTCCAGTCTTCCAGCAATCTTTTCACTCTTTGGTTTTATGGTTCACTGCGTCAGAACATCTTTTAAAACAAACAAAAAGATTCCTCAATTCTGTTTATCACCGCCCAGGTGACTGTTTCTATCCTTCTTCCTGTTACTTCCTTCCAAGAAATCTCTCTATGGCTTCAGCTTTTGGCGTGCCTGTCTCCATTTTTCTTCCTCCCATGTGTATCTTCATTTCTTTTCCTTCCTCTGTGGAAAAAAGTCAACCCACCAATATTAACTATTTCCAATTCTGATTTCTCTCCTAATCACTTCCTTATTTTAAACAAACTCCTTTTTTTTTTTTTTTGCTGCTGGTCCCTGCTTCTCACAAATCTTAAAAGCAAAACAAAATAAAGCCCCAAAATCTGATGTCTGCAAAATGCAGGGAGCAGCCAAACAGGACTTTCACACCAAAGAGCCGCCAGCAACAAATCAGAGTACTGTGAGGGGGATTAAAGAAAACAGATTTTGACAATTGTTGCCCTATGAGCACCAATTGTAGAAACTGTTTTCAGACAATAATTGAATCCATGAAAATCAAAATACAAAAATCAGACAGTACTCTCTAGAGTTCTACCATGTGATATTTCTTCAAAATTCCCTGCTGCTCTACCAACCATGTTTTCCCCAAGGTTTGGAAAATGATTTTTAGGTTTAATTACCGTTAAACCAACCATCTACCTTTTCCATTCTCCTTCTGGTTTCAAGATTTTCCTCCTTCAGAAGGAAGGGAAGAAGGAAGGATCTTTCATTACTCTTCTATGTCAAAAAAATTTGCTCATTCTACAAAACATCAAATAGTCGGCTGGATGAAGGTTATGTTACTGGAACAAGCAGCTCGTTCACTGATGAAACAGTCTGCAAAAATAAAATACTGTAGGATTAAAATAGATTTGTATACTAGAGAATAGTTAAAAAAATGCTTTTGACAAATGCCACACAGTATTGACTTCTAGCCAGGAGAGAGCAGAGGTTGGGAAGAATTTTCAGAGTTAAGAACACACTGCCTGGGAAAAAAAGTTCATTTAACTGTCAAGTGGGTATGTATGTAAGGGAGAAGGGTAGAATGAGAGAATCCGAGCCCTCTTAACACTTTGTCCATAGTGACCTCTGATAAAATAAGGAGTTATTGGTATTGTCCCAGGAACAAGTCAGAGGCTAAGCCTCAGGCAAGGAGAAAGCTACATTCTTACAGGGCCTAATAACTTGCTAATGAGCCTGAATTTAGCCTGAATTCAAGGGCAGGGCTTCTTAATCTTTTGTGTGTGTGTGTTTGTGATAGACCCCTTTAGCAATCTGAAAAAGCCTCAGTATTGTTGTGAGGATTAACTGAGATAATATTTATAAAGTGTTTAGCACAGTGCCTGGCACATAGTAGGCACTTAATAAATCTTTCTTTTAAATAAATCTTCCCTTCCCTTCCCTTTCTTTTCTTCTTCCTCTCCTCCCTTCCTTCCTGCTTCTTCCCCTTCCTTCCTTTTCAGAATTATTTTTAAATGCATAAAATTAAATACAAAGGATTAAAAAGGAAATAAATTGAATTTGTAAACCTGACTTCAAGCATGGGACCTATGCCTAAGGTTCTCCTTATTAGGGGAGAAAATAATGACTACTTTGTGCCAGCATTAGAGGTAAAGTTATCATGAGAGCTGGGGAAAGAAGAGACATTTTTCTTTCTTCCTGCTTTGAAGAGAGGACATATATAGTTCCAGACTCTCTTGGGGAGAGTTCCAGAGAGAAAAGGAACAGACTTTGGAAATCAGAGATATGCTGAGAAGTCAAAACCTTTACATGCTTGCCTTGAACCTCTCCTCTTTTGATATTCTTTCTATCCATATAGTTTACCCAATCCAGATCCTAGCAGCAGTTATCTACAAACTCCTAGTTCATCTTTCCTTCTTTTTCAAGGAGTTTAGTACTGGACTCAGTCTTTTTCTTCACCTTAACTCTTGCCCTTATACTAGGGGGCTTCAACATAAGTGTTGATATTCCTTCAAACACTCTAGCCTCCCAGTTCCTGATTCTTATTATCTTCCATGACCTATTACTTTACTTTACCACAGCAACATTCAGGTAGGATTATATCCTTGACCTCACTATCACTCACAAGTTTCTTTGGTAAAGGTCTCATTTTCATGATATATAAGGAACTGATTCAAATTTATAATATTAAGAGCCATTCCCCAATTGATAAATGCTCAAAGGATATGAATAGGCAGTTTTCCAAGGAAGAAATCTAGGCTATCAACAATCATATGGAAAAAAAAATGCTCCAAACCACCACTAATTAGAGAAATGAAAATTAATGAAATTCCTAGGTTCCACCTCTCATCCATCAGATTGCACCCACAAACATCAATAGCATTTCTATATTATTACCAAATCCAAGAGATAAAAATAGAAAGGGAAATCCTATTCAAAGTAACTACAAAATGTATAAAATATTTGGGAATCAATCTATCAAAGTAACTCAATACTTCTATAGATTCAATTACAAAATGGTCCTTAAAGAAATAAAGAACAATTTAAATAAATTGGAGCAATATTCAGTGCTCATGGCAGGCCTTGCCAATGTAATAAAAATCACAGTCCTATCCAAGCTAATTTACAGTTTTAATGTTGTACCAATCAAACTACCAAAGGAATACTTAACAGGACTTGATAAAATAATAAGATTCATTTAGAGGAACAAAAGATCTAGAATATCAGAGGAAACAAAGAAAAAAGGAAGTAATGAAGTGGGAATATCATTTCCAGACCTCAAGCTAGATTATAAAGCAGTAGTCAACATAACCATTTGATATTAGTTTAAAAATAGAAAATCAGAGCAGTGGGACAGACTATACAAAGGAGAATCTGAAATATGGGATTTAATAACCCAGGTTTAATAAACCTCCAAATATAAATTGCTTAAGATAACAGCTCACCTCTTGAAGGAACTTCTGGGGAAAGTGGAAATCATTCTAGTAGAAATTTAGGCTTAGGATAACATCTTATATCACATTCCATGATAAATTCAAACCTAAACATAAAAAATTAAAATTAAAATTAAAAGAGAAACAGATCATTATCTCTCTCACAGCTCTAAGTAGGAGATGAATTCTTAACCAAACAAAGGATATAGACAATTACGAAAGATAAAATAGACCATTTTGATTACATGAAATTGAAAAGCTTTTGCACAAGGATTTGTATCAAATATCTTTATCAATGGGAGTTTGGCAACCAAGATATATAGATAACTAACAGAAATATGTAAGCCTTATGTGCATTCCCCAATATAGAAGTGGTCAAAAATATGAATAGTTTCCAAAAGAAGAATTGTAAATTAGTAACAACCATATGAAAGAACACTTCATGTCACTAATAATATGAGAAATATAAATCAAGGCAATCCTGATGTTTTATCTGACATACAGCAAGTTGGCAAAGATGGCACAAAGTCACAGAGTCAAGGTTGGAGGGGTTGTGGAGGCATAAACTAACATGTTGTTGGTGGAGCTAACTGTTCAACTAGTACAATCATTCAGGAAAGCAATTTGGAATTATGCAGATACGGTGGCCAGTATGTACGTACTCTTTGATCCAGAGATCCTACTACTAGGCATATTTCCCAAGAAGGTCATTGATCAAAAAAAATTGTCATGTATACCAAAATATTTATAGCAGCATGGTTTGTTTGGTTTTTTTTTTTTTTGGTAGCAAAGAATTGGAAATGAAGTAGATTTACATCGATTGGGGAATGGCTAAACAAATTGTGGTCCATGAATGTAATAGAAAACTGTGCTGTAACAAAAATTAGCATTATGAATACAGAGAATTATGGAATGACTTACAAAATCTGATGTAATATGACATAAACAGAGCCAAGAAAATGATACATACAATGACTACAACGATGTAAATGGAAAGAATAACCACAACAAAACAATCTAACTTGAATATTCTAAATGATAAAGGACAGGCTAGGCCCCAAAGAAGAAATGTGAGAAGACACTTTTCCTCACTCCCTTGCTGAGGAAGGGGGATCCTTGGGTATGGAACACTGCATATGTCATCAGATCTTTTTTGAGGTTTTTCTGAGTTTTGTTGATTTTTTTTCTCTTCTTCCTCCTCTTTTTCTTTCTGTTTTTTTTTGTTAATTCTTTGTTATAAGAGATTGTTCTCTGGGAGGAGGAAGGATACAGGGGAACATTTAGGTGATGTCAAAACAAAAGATATTAATAACCTTTATTTTTTAAAAAGCTAAACAGAGTATTTAATATTCCAACTTAGAGGCAATAAAAAGTCAATGGAGTTGATTTAGTAGGAGACTGACATGGTTAGATCTGTACCTAAGGAAAATCACTTTGGCAGCAGTGAGAGGATGGATTGAGGGGGAGATACTTGTAGCAAGGAGACCAAAGGAGAATCTATTGCAATAATTGAGGGGAGAAGTGATTGAGGGTCTGAGCTGAAACAGTAGATGTGTGAGTAGAGAGGGGGGTTGGATGTGAAAGATGTTGTGGAGGTAGAACTGGCAAGATTTGGCAACTGGAAAGGAAGAGTGAGGAATTAAGGATAATACCAATGTTATAAACATGGAAGCCTGGAAGGATGTGTTATCTTTGACAGATATGGGGAAGTTTGCACGGCAGGCAGGGGGAGTGATTGGTGGGAAAGATAATGTTTGAACATGTTGAGTTTGAGATGTCTTTTGAAATAAAGCTCAGAGGGGAGAATGGGGCTGATAAAATAGACCTATGAGTCATCTGTGCAGAGATGACAGTTAAACCAATGGGAGGTGATTAGGTTATTGAGTGTAAGGGGGGAAGAGAAGAGGGACTAGAATAGAACCTTGGGGACAGTTAAGGGGTGTGTCAAAGAGAAGAATGATAAACCAGCAAAGGAAACAGAGAAGAAACAGTCAGATAGGTAGGAGGAGAACCAGCAGTGAATTAGTGTCATGAAAATTTAGATAAGAAATAGCATCCAGGAAGAGTTGGTGTTTAACAATTTCAAATGCTGCAAAGAAGTCAAGAAGGATGAGCATTGAGAAAGGGCTGTTAGATTTGGCAGTTAAGAGATCACTGGTAACTTTGGAGAGAATGGTTTCAGTTGAGTAACTGTGTCAGCAGCTAGATTGTAAAGGGCTGAGGAATGAGTGAGAGGAGAGGAAGTGGAGGCATGAGTGTAGGCAGATTTTCTACGGATTTTTGTCTTGTACCCAGTCAGTGAATTTATTCTGTAACACTGTGGATTATAGTTATCTGTGACTATGTAGTATCCTTCTACTAGCCTAAAAGTTCCACAAAGGCAGAGACCAAATCTCATCTATATTTTTCATCTCATCCCCCAGGACTATCACACAACATGAATTTAATATGTTTGTTAAATAAATGAGTTGTCAGTTGCAAATCATTGTCATATGGGTTTGTAGATGAGGCGAGTAACTCCCGATCAGTTTCTTGATGGGATATAATTGAAATGAAAAGCACTTGAAAGGGATATGGTTGTGTTTGTTGTATGTTAACAGTCTGAGGGAATTGGGAGACTGTCTGGGGAAGCTCAAAGTAGTTTGCGGGGGTTTAAAGGTGTAATTGTCTTCTCATGGAAATTTCTTCTGTTTTACTCATCATCTCACTCTGTAATTCTGTCAAAAGCAGAGAGCTATTCAATTGGTCTAGAAGGATTTGTTCTTAATAAATCTGCTGCTTATTGCTAGTGATCTTTTAGTCTTCTAGGTATTTACAAATGTTATCTGTTAATAAAAGTTTTATGACTTAATTTAGAGCTGCAGGAATACGTTTGTCACCATCACATCACCCTTCTTAAAAGATTGTACCCTGCTATCTGTTTGTTGGACTTTGTATTCCATTATAATCTTAGAGCCTCAGTGCTTTTTAATAATTATGATGATGATAGTGATGATAGATAGCAATTTTACGTCTCCTACTATGTGCCAGGCAATGTGCTAAGCACTCTACAAATATCTCATTTTATCCTTATGACAACCTTAGGAAGTAGGTGCTATTATTATTCCCATTTTATGGTTGAAGAAACTGAGGCAAACAGAATTTAAGTGATTCACCCAAAGTCATACAGCAGTAAGTGCCTGAGGCCAGATTTGAACTCAGGTCTTCTTGACTCCAAGCTCAGTGCTCTATCTACTGTACCACCATTGTTGTCGAATCATTTTAGTCTTGTCTCTTTGTGACCCCATTTGGGGTTCTCTTGGCAGAGATACTAGAGAGGTTTTCCATTTACTTCTCTAGCTCTTTTTACAGAAGAGGAACTGAGGCAAATGGTAAGGTGACTTGCCCAAGGTCACACAGATATTAAGTGTATGAGGTTGGACTTGAATTCATGAAGATGAGTCTTCCTGACTCCAAACCCAGCGCTCTATCCATTGTACCACCAGCTGCCCTCAAATTCTGAATTGTTTATAAGAAACAGTTTTAAGTGTCTCAGTAGATGCACCAAGAAATTATATTCCTCTCTTGAAATTATATTATTCCCTAGATGCCAAGACATGCTCCATGAAGAATTTCCTATGTCACCATATCTATTTCCAGGGATCAATTAATTGCTTTTCTGGTACCTTTATTTTTCTCTTATGAAGGACATATTTATAAGAAAAGAATTTGCTATTTGATACATCCTGCAGTCCTCACTGGTTTCATGCCCAATCCAATTTATTACCTGGTTTTCCCCAAATCATTGGCATCTTCTTCCTTTCCTATAGTCTCTTTCATATTTTATTCTAGCATTAAATTATATTTTCCTAATTTAATGTGTCTCTCCATCCCCTATCAGCTGCAACATGTGCTTCACAGATTCTCCAAGTGGGAAAGGACCTCAAAGGTCATCCAGTCCAATCAATACCACAAGAGGAGCACCCTTCTCTATAGCATCCCTTCTACAATTGCCCTTGATAGGTAGACATCTAACTTCCTTTTGACAACCTTCAGAGACAGAGAATACATTGCTTTGTGAGACAGTGAGATACTTCATAACAGCCCTGAGAGATAGGTAATGCCAGCATTGTTATTGTTTCCTAATCTACTTTGGGAGTGCTTTAATAGGTAGATTTTCCTGACGTTGAACCCTGACATTGAGCATGTATTCTGCTTCTTTGAAACTTTCATTGAAATTTGGGTTTTTGGGCCCAAGCAGCACACATTCACTTGCAAGTCATGGCACCACCTTCCTGATGCCATGATCCTCTTTGAGAAGGAAGGACAAACAACAACAACAGCGGACATAAGAAATCTTCAAATAGTTGAAGACATTGCATATGCTCCCTGTGGGAAATAACCAGCAGGCATTTGGTGATATGGGACTGGACTTTTGAAGAGAGGAGAGAGGTGGATATATAGATGTGGGAGTCATCTGGGTAGACATGATAATTAAACTCAGCGGAATAGACAATACCATTAATGGAGAAAGTGTGGTAACAGAAGAGAAGAAAATCCAGGATAGAATCTAGAGGACAGAAGATGGATGATGACTCAGCCAAGGAGACTCAACAAAAGGAAAATATCATGGAAGCCAAGGGATGAGAGTGTATCCATGAGGAGAGAGTGAGGGAGATTTGGGGAGAGGGAGCTCCTTTAATCCCTTGGTGAAGGTGGCTGATTGCCCAACAGATTGACTTCAGCTATCTAAAACTATAGTGTTGTCCACTTGGCAGGTGTGGTCAGCAGTGTTAAAAGCTGTAGAGAGACAAAAGAGGATGAGGACTAAGAAGGTGTCACTGAATTGATCAATTATTCCTTCAAAATAGCTTTCACTTCTGTCTTTTCCTTTCCATTCCCAGATCCCCCCACTTTAGACTGTACTTTCATCATCCTATTCCAGACAGACTTTGAATTTTTTAGTAGACTTCTAATTGGTTTTTCTCCCATTAGTCTCTTTCATCTGGATCCATCCCAGACAAGTTGTAAGAATAATCTTCCTATAGCACAACTGTGATCATGTCACTCTACTGCTAAAAAACCTCCCTGATTTCCTACTACCTACAGGTTAACCTAAAATTCCTCAGCCTGCCTTTTTAAGACCTCACAGGATGTGGTTTACCCTACTTTTCTAGCCTTAATCCCCAACTGTTCTTCTACCCAAAGCATCTACCTATTTGGCCTGGCATCCTAGGTGTAGTCAGAACATATGAGGGCTTCCTTTCTTCTTCCTGCACTCCTTTGTTCACACCATCCCCTTGCCTAGAATTCTTAACCATAATCTAAGTCTTACTCAACCTTCAAAGCTCACTTTGAATTGTCTCCCCCAGGAAGCCTTCCCTGATGATAGCTGCTCTTAGTGATCACTCTCTTCTTTGAGCTCCTAGAGCATTTTCTGTCTATGCCGCTGACTTGGTACTGAGAATATACTATCTGGTATTGTGATTAATTTTTTCATACGTGTTATTTTCATCAGCATGCAAGGGCCTCAATGTCACAGACTGTACTTTATTCACTTTACATATTCCCGATATCCAATAAATTACATAGATTGTACTCCATGAATGTGTTTAAAGGTCATTATTATGATGACCTACTGTTGACCTACTATTACCTTATGACCTACTATTGTAATGGTAGCTAGGGGCAACTGGGTTGCACAATGGTTAAAACACTGGGTCTGGAGACAGGAAGTTCAAGTCTGGTCTCAGACACTTACTAGCTCTTGACCTTGGGCAGGTTCAGTTTCCACATCCACATAATAGGAATAATAATAGCTCTAGCATATCATAAGAATATATGTGTATATATATATATATATATATATATATATATGTATATGTGATATCTACATAATATAGAATGATCCTAAGATAATTTTATATATATATATATATATATATAATATTATTGTTATATTATAGCCATATATCTATTTCTGTCTATATACATACATATACATACATATGAGGAAATTGAAGCCCAAGGAAAGAAAATAATTTCCTTGGGTCATAGAATCATAAATTTGGAAGAAGCCTGTAGTAATAGGAAGAGCACTGGACTTGGAACCAGAGGATCTGAGTTCTAATTCTGCCTAGTAGTGTGGTTTTGGGCAAGTCTCCTTCCTGATCTTCAGTTTGCCCATTTGTAAAAATAATAGCTAAATCCCTTGTAGCTTTAAATTTTAGGATTCTATGACTACTGTGACCATTTTGAGCCAGAATTAAAATTTTAAAAATTATTTTTGTTACATTTTAAGTTCTGAACTGTCTTCCTCCCTCCATTCCTACCCTGCAGTAGGGAAGAACATCATTTGATGCAGACTTATAAATATTTGTAAACCCATACTTTGTGTACTTCTATTTATCAGTTCTTTCTCTGGAGGTAGATAACATCTTCCTTCATAGGTCCCTTATACTTGATTTGAGTATGTATAGTATTCAGAATAACTTGGTTGTTCACAATTAGTTTTTGAACAATATTGCTGTTACTGTATTCAATGTTCTCTTGGTTTTGTTCACTTCACTTTTGATTATTTCATGGAAGTCTTTTCATGTTTTTCTAAGATCAACCAGCTCATCATTTCTTTTTTTATTGTTGTTTTTTGTTGTTTTTTGTTTTTTAGGCAATTGGGGTTAAGTGACTTGCCCAGGGTCACACAGCTAGTAAGTGTGTCAAGTGTTTGGTCTGAGGCTGGATTTGAATTCTGGTACTCCTGACTTCAGGGCCGGTGCTCTATCCACTGTACCACCTAGCTGCCCCTCATCATTTCTTACAGCACAGTTGAACCAGGATTTTAACTTACGTTCCCTTACACCAAACCTGGTGCTCTTTGAACACATATTGGGAGGCCAAGTAGTATTGGCTCCCAATATGGACTCCAGTTTCTTCGTTATTCTGGTTATTATCCCCTGGACCCATTATAGCTTATCAATGTCCTTTCTAAAATGTGGTGGCCAGACGCAAATATCACATTCTAGTGGTGGTCTGACCTGGTCAACTTGGCTATCACCAGTCTCAGTCTAGACACTACATCTCTCAATGCAAGCTAAGATCATGGTAGTTGTTAGGGCTGCCTTGCAGGTTTCCTCTCTTTTTCCCCTTCAAATCTAGGATTTTCTTTATCAAGAGATTTTTGATCAATGTCTTCACTTAACCATGTTGGGTATTTTTTTGCTCTTTGTACTCTTTTACAAAAAAAGAATAGCCTTGCCCCTTTATTATTTTGTTTTTAAAGAAACGCTGCAGCTTCTTCCATTCTGAGGAGTGTTAATATTGACTGACGTATTCCCGGCTGATCTTTTTATTTCCTCAATTTTCTTTGCTGGAATCAAATGCCTTCATCTGTTACTGTCTATTGCTATAACTCCTTACCATTCTGAATCTGAATCACTTGTGGCCACCAGTAATTACTCTCATGTTCACCTTCTCATTGTGGTGCCAAGTCTATCAATGGCCAGCTATGTAACAGCATGCTGATTTAACCAGGTTCATATTGAACACTGAGAAATAGGTTTTATTTACTAGGCTAATTCTGTTTGGTCAGAGATATGAGTGAAATAACTAGAATGCAAATAATTGATCTAGTGATTCCTTTCATCATAATGATGTAATGAATCAACCATTTGGAGACCAGATCGACTGCTTCGTGTGGGCCATTTCCTCAGGGTTACTTCAGGGTCATTCAGACTATAACACTTCTCATAATACTAACAGCTTATATTTTTATAGTGGTTTAAGGCATGCAAATCTCTTTCCTCATAACATGCTTATGAGATTGCTACTGCAAGTACTATTGGCCTCATTTTGCAGATGAGGAAAATGAGGGTCAGAGAAGTGATAATATTTGCCCATCATCCCATAGCGGTCAAATGGCAGATTCAGGACTTGAACCCAGGTCTTCTGACTTCAAGTCTAGTGAATTTTCTTATTATCATGCTATAGCTCTTCGTGATGAGGCGCCCTGCAAACCAAGGAGCAGGACCTAGGGCAAGTCCTTGATTTATGTGGAGTCATATTGCTCATATTGGCACATAAGTCCAGTTCCAAATAGATTAACTGACTTGTACAAGATCATGTAGGTATTAAGTAGCAGAGCTGGGATTTGAACCTAATTTCCAAACATCATTGAGGTGAGTGACAGGGACACAGGCTGTGTAGTCTGTAAGCTGTGTTAACTTTTGATCTTCATGTCCCTAACCATTTAGTACCAGTGAATTGTGTTGCAATAGGATGCAAGGATTCGGTTGTTTTCTGGTTGAACTCTTAGTGAATACTCTGGAAATGTAATATCTAAGTTCCAATTTGGAGTGGGGATCTGATTTTGCAGAAGCCTTTACTATGGTTCCCATGGCTTCAGTCTACATCAGGGAAACAAGGCTCCTGGACCAGGGGTGGGAATCCTGCAGCCCTGAGGCCACATGGGGCCCTCTAGGTCCTCAAGTGCAGCCCTTTGCTGAATCCAAACTTCACAGAACAAATCCCCTTAATAAAAGCATTTGTTCTGGAAAACTTGGACTCTGTCAAAAGGCCGCACTTGAGGACTTAGAGGGCCCCATGTGGCCTTGCTGCCCCAGATTCCCCACCCCTGTCCTAGACTCTGTCATGGTGCATGAAGTAAAATAAGGATTCTGGGCACTGCTCTTGTTCTCAAATCTCCCTTATAAAGATGAGAGTTCTTGGCTCATTTAAAAATAGATCATAAAATTTAGTGCTAGAAGGTATCGTAGAGATCATTTAGTCCAGGCTTCTCATTTTACAGATAAGATAATCTGCCCTCAAAGGTGAAGTGATTTGTCCAAGGTCATACAGGTAGGAAGGAGACAGACCGGGTCATCTGATTCCAAATCATACATTTCAAAGGACTCTGAAATGCAGCAGGGAAATCTGGCCTTTCCAAATATATATTAGGCATGCAGGAGATTAAGAATGCTGTGTACTTTCCCTCCCCTACCCAGTGATTCCAGTGGGCTCTTTTCCTTAATGCCTGGGTGACTTTGGGCATATCACTTAATCTCCCTGGTTCTCAGTTTCTTGTGAAATGAGGGGGATGGTCTAGACGCTCTAATCCATCAGATCTCTTCTGGCTCTAGGTTGTACAAATTCCACCACTGAGACCAAGAGAAGTAGGAGGGGCAGGGGAACGATGTTTTTAGTTGACAGTCACAGCAGAGGTGACATTAGAAATATTGAGAGTTAATGTATGTGTCAATTTTCTGATTCCTTTTGCTTGTTGCACATAAGATGTTTGATTGTGAGATGCAGATGTTTTGTGAAGGTTTTGGTGGCCTTGTGTTCTGCCACAGCTTATTTTTAGTATAATGATTAGGAGAATATGTATGCCTGACACCTCCTTCTTTGTCCTTCACTCTTCACCTACTCTCATATGCCTTTACAAATGCTCCTACAGACAGACAACTAACTCCCTTATCCACACTCAACTTTACAACCACGTGAATGCTCAACTTTGTGCAAATGTGCACAGTACTATCCTAGTAATCTGTCATATACTACTACACATATATATTTATTTTGACAATGGCATATGGACACATTTGCATGCATTTCATGCTGAAATTTCATATACAATTAAAAATAATGAAAAAGACACCTATACAATGAATTAGGTTATACTGAGGGACAGATCACTCTTCCATTATGGGGAACAGTATTATTCTCATTCTAAAACTGAAAGCCTAGAGAGCAAGTCCTAAAATGGGGTGCCATTATGCATATTCATTGTAACCCAAGCTGTTCTTTTCTGTCCCACAAAGACACAGTCGACTCAAACTTCCTTTACACTTTTGCAAACTACTCCAACTTTTATGGCCTTCTCTCTAGCTTCACAGAGCCTTGATTCAGCCTATAGATTCTCATTTTGATCCATACCAATTTTGATTTATCACAGTGTAGGGTTCATAGCAGGTACTGAATAATGACTTGTTGACTTGCCTCCTAAACTTGCCAATGTTCTCTCCCGAATCAACAACAAAGCCTTGCATTTTTGGTGGCGGTTTTATGAATATGACAAAAGTGCTTCTTGTCTTGGGGGGTGCCACTCAGTTGCCATTGGGAGGTCCATTGGGAGAATGCCATGCTCCTCAGACCCAATCCTGTCAGAATGCAATGTTATATCCCCTAAAGGAAGATGTTATTGTTCCATTGGGTCTGAGTTTCTCCAAGTCACTGACCTGCTCCTGATGGAGCAGAGGACTGCTCTAAATATCTTTTCATCTTGCTTCCATTAAGAGAAGGTGAAGCTTTAGGAGGACCACTTTAACTTTCTCTGTTTCCAATACAAACAAAACAGTAGGAGGGAAATGCATTAGACAGAAGGCAGCAAGCTGAGAGAGAATGCCTAATGTATTCTTTAACTAAGCCAACCCCCTCGAGCTGCCAATGTCTCTCCCCCTCCCCCATTCCTCTCACGGATTTGAAAAGGAATATCTCTTCTTGGGCAAAAGATCCTGATATTTAGGCAAATGGACCTCCA